AGGCCCCGCCTCCTCGGAGCGGCTGGCGCGGCCGGTCCGCCCGGCTTCTCTTTGCAAAGCTGTCTCGGCGGGGCGGGGAGCGGAGCTTCCTCCTCCGAGTGCGGTGCAGCGCCGCCCGGTTTGTCCTTCCGCCCCTGCCTCCGCGGCGCCCAGGCGAGCGAGGGAAGGTGCGCTGGAGCCGAGACCCGCGATGTGGCCCGCGGGAGCAGCGGCAGTGGCGGGGTCTCCGGCGCGGGACACATCGCCGTGCGTGGAGCTGTTGCAGGCCCTGCCGCCCCTGGCCTCGCAGCCGCCTCCGGCCGCGCCCTCGGGGCTGCCGCTCCCAGCTCCGGGCAGCGCGACCCTCAACCGTCTCCCGGAGCCGCTGCTGCGGAGGCTCAGCGGGATCTTGGACCGAGCGCCCGAGGGCCGGGGTTGGAGGAGGCTGGCGGAGGTGGCGGGGAGTCGGGGGCGCCTCAGGGGGGGGTGCAGGGATGGGGTCACGTGGGAGTGGACTTGGGCGGGGGTGCGCGAGAACAGTGTGGGGGCACCCGAGTGGGAGGGTGGGCGCTGGTGCTGGAGAGCATCGGGGCCACGCGAGACGGGGCAAGGGCCGCTGATGTGGCAGGAGCGCTGAGCAGAGGACGTGGGGAGAACTTCAGTAATCTTCCAGAGAGAGAGCCTTGATTAACCCAGGAAAGCCCTGGGCATTCGAGAGTTTCGGCCTTGAAGCCCGGTGCTCACACCCTAGTCCTGCGCTCCTCCCCATGAGCTGAGAGAGAGTCGAGGTTGACCTAGGAGTGGATCGAGAGAAAGAAGGCTATCTGGAGATCACTGTGATAGGGCAGTACCTCTGAAGGACTTAAAATGCAAACTAACGGGATATAGACGCCGACCTGGAAAACCTAAGGAAGGTTAGGAAGAAGTGCAGGTAAAGCGATGATGGAAGAGTTTGGGGGTGCAGGAGCTCATGAAGGTTTTTATGTAGGGAGAGAAGGAGGGTGGGAAAGACAAACTAAACTCACCACCTTCCTCCATCAAGCCAGCTTACCAAGTTCTCCATGACTTCACCATGAACATCTATAAGGAAAACTATTTTCCTATTACCAGGCCTGGAACCGCAGTACTAGTGGTTCTTGAACTTTCGGTGTCCGGACTCCTTTAAATTCTTAATTTTATGAAAACCCCAGAGTTTTTAATGTGGGTTCTGTGTATTCCATACATATAATACATAACTGATATTTACCATATTAGAAATTAAAACTAAGAAAATTTTAAAATACGAGCTTATTTAAAAAGAGTAACCTAGTACATGTTAACAGAAATTACATGTGGAAAGACAAATTTCTCTAAAACAAACAAAATTAGAAAAGCGGCGTTTCACTTTTTGAAAATCTCTTTAATGTCTTGGCTTCATTGCAGGGGGCTGGCTGCATTTCTGTGCCTCTGCATTCACAGGTCTTGTAACACCAGATGCTCCAATGTACACTCCTGAGAAAGTGAATGAAAAAGATAAATAACATCTTAGTGTTATTTTGAAAAATCGTTTTGACTTTCTGGGTCCTGTGAAAGGGTCTTAGGACCTGCATGAGGGTTTCCTAGACCATACTTAGAACCGCTACTCTCTGTCGTTGTCATGATATTGGTCTGCCTTTCAAACCCCTCAGCAGTTTTTTTTTAACTTCTCATAGGACTAAACTTTGTCTTGTCCTGTAATTATTTGTATACTTCTTTTATAAACCTCTTGAGGAGAAGAAGAACCATAGTTTAAGAGTGTATCATACCTAGAACCTATCTTAGACACTCTATAAACACTTGAGAGGGAGACAGTCACTCAAAGTTAAATTTATTGAGTGCCTATTATTTGCTACAAGTTCCAGAAAATAAACAGGTGACAGATATTTAGTTCCTGTTCATAAAGTCTAACTCATAATGGCTGTCATTCTGGAACATTCACAAATAGCATGTTAAGTACTACATTGGGTGTGAATAATAATGAATTGTGATCATTTATTAAGCCCTTAGAATAAACCAATGTGCTGTTTACATGGATTATCTACTTTAACCCTCACAACAGCCCTCAGTTTCTGAGAGTTTGGGGTTAAAACAGAGTAATGATGATCTGAGATTATCTGTCCATACAGAGGAGTAACGATAAGAGGATGGACTCAAGAAGTTGTAAACTTGCAAAGTTGAGCAGACAAATGGCATAATTTTTTTCTGTTCTAGGAAAAACACATTGTCCTTTTGGCTGTGCAAAGAAAATCCAAAATACTAACATTCTAGGTCCATAGATTTCTAAATTTCTAAAGTTACAATATGAAAAGTTGTCATCTTTCGGGGGAGGGGGTCAGATCACCAGATCTGTGATTGGTTAAATTGTGCAATTAAGTAGCCCTGTAGTTAGGGAAGGCTCTGGGCTTTCCTGAAGAGGGAGGGCCTGGTAGCAAAGACTCCTATTTTTGATGAGAGAAGAAGCATGGCTGATGGAATCTAAGGTTAGTGGATATGTTGTCGGAGAGTGGGCCCTTTTTGGCACGATGACCAGGTTCTTGGCATCTCCAGCAAAGAATTGAATGAGATACCAGGGCAAAGTAGTAAAAAAGCAGTTTATTAGAAGACATAGCGCACTTCAAAGAGTTTGGAGCGAGCCACGTGCAGAGGCAAGGCTCAAAAAAGGGAGGCAGGGCTCAAAAAAAAAAGGGGCCTGACTACCCAGGACTTGGAGTTTTTATCCCTTTTTTTCTAGAATGGGCTGTTCCCCTCTGTGCCTGTGATTGACAAGAGGCTATAGTGGAAGGGGCGGTCTTTTGGGCGGTGCAGGAATGCAGAGACCCAATGCCTGCTTCTAACTGCCCTCCTTGTTTGCCTTTTGAGAGATGTGATCCCCACAAAACCTCTATGGGACAGGAGGTCTCTTCTGTGTCTGCTTCCTGCTGGGCAGGGGTGTAGAGCTGTCCCTGCCTATTGGGGGATTCACAGAACTCTCACCCTATCTGATCTCAGATGAGAGGAAGGGGTCTCGAGCTCCGCCTGGAAGACCATGTTGGCTTCTTTGGTTGTGACTGGCAGTCTTGTTGGGGTATCATCTGTATCCCCAAGGCCCCTGAATGAGGAAAAATAAATTTTAATTAATAAATCTGTTAGCTCTTGAGAAGTCTGTGGCCATTCAGCTCTCAGTCAGGTGGTATCAATCATCTGGGCCCAGAATGGGTTTGTAAAGAAACATTAGGCTTACTCGCCTGGGGGAATGTTAAAACCTATTTAGTCTCTGGGATGGCTTGGGGGATGTTGGGAAGTCACAGGCTTTTAAGTAGTTATCTGAAGGAAGGGTAGGAGATTTCTGTGAACAATCTATTGTTTAGGATTCAGAAACTGATGTATAAAACAATCAAGAAGCAGGGGGATAGGAGAATTCCATGATTGAGGGTTGGAGCAATCTTTAGGATTTAGAAACTGATTAGAAGAGTAATCAAAGCCAGGAGCTAAGGAACTAGGGAGTAGACTTAACATTTCTATAGGAAAGAAAACTGAAAAGTTAGGGGGGGGGGCCTACTCAGGGCCCACAACGGATACCCCAAACCTTCAGTCAAATTGTGTTAAAGGCTATAGAACTGTGTTAGCTTTCTTTGGAGGAACTGACAGGAAATTTTGAATTCACATTTCTAATGAAGCTAGTATAGACAGAAGGGCAGTTGCCTACCAAGAGATGACAAGCAACAAAAGGCATGCATTTGTGGAATCTGGGAATTCCAGCGTGGGGAGTCTGATAAGACAGATGGAGTTTCACCAGTCTTCCAGGATGCTAAAGATTATAGTTCATAGTAGGCTAGTTGTGGTGAGGGGAGTCGGGGCACCCTGAAGTTTGGAGAATTGGGGAACATTAAGCTCACTTACCTGTTGAAATCAGAATTAAACTGACATAACAAAAGGTTAGCACTGGGAACTTGGGGGCTAGAGAGTGACAAATGAGGGGGCAAGCTAAGCTGGTGATGCTTTACTCTATTTAAGAAAAAAAGAATTACTTTAACGTAATTTCATGCTGATGGCAGAAGAGCACCTATGATAGTAGAAGGTCCTAAAAGTGTTCCTCTAGGGTCAAACCTAGGAACTATAGAGTGAAAGTCCAAGTGGATAACAGTTCCCGTGAGGATGTGAAGTGCTCTCCTCAGAATCACTGGTTTCACAGCCCTGGAATCTCAAAGGTTGCTTATTCTGTTTCCTTTCACTTTTTTCTGACTTTATACTTCTTTCCTCAAACTATTGGGTTGTCAGAAAAGTCATGCGGCTACAATACTGGATGGACCAAGGCACCATTACTTGTCACCTGGATTATTCCAGTAGCTGCCTAACTTCTCCTCAGGCTTTGCCCCACCCCCCAAATCTGTTCTTAGTACATCAGGAATAATGATTCTTTCAAAACATTAAATCAATCTTATCCCTTCTCTGCTCAGAACCTTCCATTGCTTTTCCATTTCAGAGTGAAAACACCATTTTAGCTACCCGTTAACTCTTGGACCTGATATCCCATTACCGTCTCCCTCTCTCTCTCTCTGCTCGCTTGCTTTTCCTTGAACACAGTAGGGTCTTTGTACTGCTGTTTATTCAACCTGAGGTGGTCTCCACAGATAAACCATGACTTGCTCCTTTACCTCTTCAAATATTTGCTTTAAAGTCACCTCAGTGAGGTCTTCTCTGACCACGTTGTTTAAATTACCTACATCTGCTCCAGCATTACCTGTCTCTGCTTTGCTTTGTTTTTATGACCATTGAATGGATGGATGCACGCACATGCGCATATGTATCTGTCCTCCTATAGAAAAATCCAGGAAAATAGGGAATTTTGTTTTGCTTGCCTCTATAGCCTCAATACCTAGGAAAAAAAGCTGGCCTATTTTAGGTGATTAATAAATATTGGTTGAATTAAGGACTAAAGATTCCAAAGAGTAGATGTACCATAAAGAGAAGCAAAAGAACCTCAAAGCAGGGCCATGGTTTGGACCCTAAAGAGTGTGTAATATGTTCTATTTGATTATATATTTTTAAAAGTGAAGTTAAATATAGATACGTTTTTAAAAGTAAAGTCCATTTGCTTCAGTAATAGTATTTTAAATTAAATCAAATTCCGGATTAGGGCTGGTAGAAACCACTTCAAAGCAGTCTTACAGGAATGTAACTAAAAAAGGAAAGAAAGAAAAGTTGGGTGTATATAAGCATCATCTTAGCTGAAAGCCAGTGCTCGTGCGGAAAATCAGTAAAAGAAAAGGAGATACAGAACTTTCTTTTTTTCCTGTGACTCTTCGTTTTGGAAGAGAAATCATTGTCTACTTCACTTTGATCTTCATTTGGGGGAAAAGTAGACAAGTTGTTTTTCATTTTCTCTATATCAGTATAAACATTAATTAGAGCATTGCTTGGTTGCATTTGACAAGATGGGTTCTTAATTTCATGTATCAGATTGTGATAACCTTCCCGAATCATAAAAATTATATTCAACATACAGCATCCTTATGTTTATAAATCTTATATTCTCATTATTTGAAAAATTGGTAATCCTTATATTGGTTCCTTGACCTGGGCAGTACATGAACTAGTAAAAGAAATTTTTACAAAATAAAGGACCAACAGGCACCCTCAGCTTTCGTTTTTGCTGTAGTCACCATTATTTTATAAAAGAACAGACTAACCTTTTTAAAAAATAGGAAAGACAATCTTTGAGTAAAAGGCAGCCTTGTCCTTATTTTTATCATTTTACCATGGACTTCATTCAGATTGTGCTGCCACTAGACTGAAGTCCAGAATTTAGAAATGATCTATTGTATGATGATTCACATTTAACTAGAATATAGTACTCACTATATAAATTTAACTAGGATATTTAGAAAAGAATACCTACTTCCTATAGTGATATGAGGCCTGGTAACATTATCAGGTTACCAAATAGTAGCTACTCAAAAACATTTTTAAGGAAAAGCTAGAACAGTTTCAGAAATAAAGATAATTTTAAAATGTACCTTAATACTCTTTTGATAGCCTTATGTTTTTATTGCATAATAAGAGCTAACTTTTACTGAGTGCTTATTATTTGCCAAGCACTGTGCTATGTACTGTTTACATGGATTATCTAATTTAATTCAAACAACCCTATAAGATAGATGATATTACTATTGAAATTATTTTGGTTGGATATATTTTTTATGAGATAAGCAACTTTATCACAGAATTATAAATCTTGGGTGGCCATTATATAAATGCGGTAGCAGCCTTTTAATAAAGCTGACCAAAATGAATGTGGATTAAGAATATTTCAAGTCATAGGAACCTTGGTAACCTTGACTCTGCCACAGCCTGGTACTATTATGTTTGACCCCTTCCACCTATCCAGGCTTCTAGACTTCTCAGTTGGGATTGAAATTCACTCAATAATCATTTAGTTATGAATAATTAATATGGGCAAGACAGATTTCAGGTATTGAGAGATTAAATATATATGTATGTATGTATGTAGATATATGATGGGGTTTCTGTTTTCAAGGAGTACTGTAATCTAGTTGGGTAGAGAAGACATGCTTATAAAAGAAAAGTTTATATTTTAAGGCAAAATCATGTCAAATAAAACATAGATTAGGGTTCTGTAACCACTGACTGATGGGACAAATTCAGGCCACTGCCTGGTTTTGTTCAGCTTATAAGCTAACAATGGTTTTTATATTTAAAAATTGTTAACAAAGCAAAAAACAAGAAAGAAGTATATGTGATATATACTGTATGGCCCATAAAGCCTAAAATATTTACTCTCTGACACTTTATAGAAAGGTTTGCCAAATGTGGTATACAAGATAAACACCACTAGGAGACTGCATCTAAAGTGTGTTTGGCGGGCTGTTGTGATCTGGGAGAATCCCACAGAGAAACTAGAGTTTATATTGGACTGTAATTCAAATTGGCAGGAAAGGAAGAGGTGTCTGCGGAGGTGTATGAGGTATGAATTTGACAAGTGTATCATGGAGATTATCTAAAGGCTTTGGTTGGCCATTGTTGTTGGTTATGTCTCTTTTTTTCACATGAATATACACATAGACACTCTACTTTGTTAATACAAAATACTATATATTTTTTTCATTTTTTAATATGTCTCAAAGATCTATGCCACTTTGGGGGGCCATCTTATACTCTATATAAGTACAAAAAAGAGTAGAGAAATGTATCTGATCTTCCTATTCCCAATTAAAGGTAAAAACTTTGATCAAGGGCCAGCCGAGTGGCTTAGCTGGTTAAGAGCTCGCCTGGGAGCACCAGCTCTGAGCAGCAGGGCTGCAGTTCAGATCCCACCCACATTGAGAGCCAGCGTCACTGGCCCTCTACAGCTAAGATGATGAACAACAGCTCGACCTGGAGCTGGGCTGCTGTGAGTCGCCGGCGACGGCATAGGCTACAGCAGGGCTGCAGTGGGCTGCCATGAGCTACATGAGTGGTTGGCAGCCAGCATGAGCGGCCAGCAGCCGGTGTGAGCTGCTGGGAGCCGCTGTGAGCGGCCGACCAATGACGGGTGACCGACCTGCCTCATCCGGGAAGAGCACAATGATCATACCAACATGGGCCAGTGAGGCGAGGTCCTCCACAACTAGACTGAAGAGCAAAAACAGCAATTTCTCTACCTGTCTGTTCCCCTTTCCTGATTCCCCAACGCTGTTCCCCTCCCCCCAATTCCCCAATAAAATCTTTAAAAATTTTTTTAAAAAAACCTTTGATCAAAGTCAGAGCCAGATTTCTCTCACATCCAGTTTCTAGACTTCCCTCATTCTCCTGAACATAGTCCTGGGAGCTGAGTCGGAGATGGGAGTCATGAGGAGCCTCCTGGAGTGGCAGAAAGAGGAGGACAGGACAGGAGCACTGATCATGTAACTAGCTTCTCACAACTCAACGACTTGTGATTTAGTCCCTACACCACCTACTAGGGTGACAGACGTGGAGCAGGCATATCATAGTGAAGAAAGCCATTGACTTGACTTAAATGTGTTGTTTTCAGTTGTCTGGACTTGGAGCAGTGCTCTCTTAAGGTCTTGGATCCTGAAGGAAGCCCGAGCCTGTGTCTCCTGAAGCTAATGGGTGAGAAGGGTTGTACGGTCGCGGAGCTGAGTGACTTCCTGCAGGCCATGGAACACTCTGACCTTCGTCAGCTTCTCAGCCCCCCAGGTAGGTGTTGGCCTTAGGTATGTCCTCCAGGAGTGCGTGGAGACAAACTTGGAGAAAAAGATCGCATTTGACCACATGATTTGTGTTGACTGTTTTTGGGAAAGGTAAACGTATGAAGTCTCATTTTTTCCCCCCAGGTTGAGACTAAAGAACACATAAAAAGCAAATGCAACGTATAAATATTGTGGTTCAAAAAATCAGCTATATAAGATGTTTTGGGGCAAGTAGAACACTTTCATTATAACCTGCATTATTAGATACTAGGGAATTATGTGATGATGGTGTTGTAGTTCAATAGAAGAATGTCTTTATTCCAAGGAGACGCATACTAAAGTATTTAGGGGTAAGGTGTCTATGACTTACATTGCAATAGTAGAGCCCAAAAACTAAATTTACACATTGATTTATATGCATGTATGTATATGAGATAAAGCAAGTATGACAAATATTGTTGAAATTTTTGCCAACATGATGCTTTTGAAATGTTGATTCACTCAACTGTATGATTCTTTTTTTCTGAATATACTAATATTGAGTGAGGTTTCTCACTTCCAAAGTCAGACGTGAGGAATAGGAAACCGTCCCTCCTTGCCACAAATACGGTAGCATCGGGCAGGAGGGACCAAGTCTTCTAAGTGACCTGCGGCGGCAGCACACAGACCTCCTTTCTGAGGGGTCCTGCTGGCCGTTACAGGTCCCGCTAGAAGCAGAGAAGCCGATCAAGACCTGGGGGCCACGGACTAAGGACATGATGCTCTCTTTTACATGGTTTGGCTGTATGCAGTTTTACGCTATGGACTTGTTTGTGATAATATTTATAAGTTAGCACAAGGAACCTAAAATTATAGTGCCAATCTTATTCTTTACTTAGTTCTGGGGTTGGGGAGTTACAGGCACATGGTAGTGGTGTGCTATCAATTACATGTACCAGGAACCCCAACTCAGATTGGCATCATCAAGGGAATATGTTGATTCTTCTAACTGAAAAGTCTTGAAGCAGGTTGGGCTTTAAGAGGGGGAGGCAGGAGCTAGTTTATTGTTGTCTTTGCTCGTCCCTTCTTGTCATCGGCTTCCCCCTAAGACTGACTTTCTCCATGGCCACGAGATATCGACCAGCTCTTCTTGCATTCCTCTTCGTCCCAGCAGAAACCATAAGATTCACTCTAGTTAAGTTTGGTCCCATGCCTGTCCCTACACCTGTCACTGTGGCCGGAGAGATGGAATGTGCCGAATTGCCTGGCTTAGAGCCAAGAGTGGAGTTGGGTTGAGTCAGCTTTCCAGAAGCCACACCAAACGAAAGTGGGCCTGGTGGAGGGAGAAATGGGGGAACAGGTGCTGGGGAGAGAACTAAAAACTCGACTGCAGTTGGATGATGATGAGTCAGGACACTTGGAGTCTCGGATTACCTTCTGCCTTACAAGGCCTAATGAAGATGATAATATGTGTCTCTTGGACATGCCTCCCTTGTGTTACACACTGTTTCTGATGTTTGATGTATGTTTCTCAGGGCCTCTTCACACCAAGAGGTGTGCTAATGGCGACCTCGTTTACCTAAAACTATTGTCTGTCACCGATCAGTAAACTTCTCCTTAAGGTGACGTTTATTAACTTTTATATCCCCAGTGCCTAGAATAGTACCCAGAGGTTGTGACCATTGAAATCTGCCAGTCTCGGGCACTCAATTAGCTACCAAGTTCTCATACTTTATAGAATACCAGTGCCTCTGAAAACTTAAGAAACCTCTCTGGGAAGTAGATATAACTTTTAGATCTCATTATTGTTTTCAGTAATTACAGTGAATTACTCTGACCATTGGTTACCAAGTCTGTAAACTGAGAGTAAGTGATCTCTAACTCTCAGGGTTGTAGGAGTTACAGGAAATAATGCTGCATTGAAATTTCAGCATCTAGACGACAAGAGAGGCCCCACCTGTCATGATTTGCAGTGTCATCACTGGCCTGAGATCTGAGGTGTCCCAGTTTTTCAAAGCTTCCCATGTACGAAACTGGGCTTGACTGGAATTGAGTCACATATTTCTTTATGTGTAGCCTGAAATTTTTAACAATATGTTTTGATTTTTGACAAGCCAGCAATGAATACAGTTCTATGCTAATAACATCAGTAATTTTTTAAAAAATCCATTTCTGCTTTTTGGGGTTTTTTTCCTCACATAGTAGCACTAGCACTTTACTGTCAGTGTTTCTCCTACGGAGCTCAATCTGATATTTGGCCTACAGACTTTCCGTTATCCCCTGGGACTTTTTCATATTTGAGGGGACGATAGAAAAAGGAAACCAGTTACTACGTTACCACGTATGCGCTGTTCCTGTGAAGTGTTGTCATATTAGCCATAGTCCATTAGGAATTAATTGTTACTTGAATGTTAATTGTTGATTTAAGAGGAAATATTTTGGGATTTGACCTAACTCAGTAGTTTCAGGAAGAAATAATTTATTGTTAGCTTTCTATCTGCATTTTATGTGGATAATTTAAAACTTAGATACTAGAACAGAAATATAAGAATTATAGAGAGAAATTTTAATATTTTAATATAAAGGATATTGAGAATAAGAAGTACTGTAATTATATCAAGAAAGGGAGCTCTGGTAGAATCAACTTGAGATTTGCTCATTAACATTTATTGTATTCCAATACCTTTGCTATTTCAGGCATTGTGCCTGGTACTCTGAATTCAAAGAAAACAATATTTTCTGCCTGCTGAAAGTTCACAGTCTAGTAGGGGAGACAAACCCGTAAATGTTCACATCCGATACAATCATAAAAACAAGTATATATAGACGAAGTTTTATCTGATCTCCAGCTTTTCCTTTTCAGTGTATTCCTGAATCTTGGTGAAAATACAAACTAGAAATATTCTAATATTGTCTCTCTTTTTTGTAGTAATGCAGTTTCATAGGAGGACATTAGTTCTTAGTCCACAGAAAGTCCAATGATTTTTCTCTGATTGTCTTTATACAGAGGTCTGGCTTGGGTACAGTGAGTTCTGTCAAAGATGCTACAAACCTATGAACAGGACTTCCAACACCTAAATGCAGAGAGAAGGGGAAATTTTAGATTTATTTTGCCAAATTCCATTCCATTTGTTTGTGAGATGACAGCCAGCTGATGGCTGTATTTCCCCATTTCTAACTGCAACAACTTCCTTGGTTAGAAGCCAACCTCAGTGATCCCTCAGCTCAAACCCACGAGGTTTGAGCTGAGGTTAGCTCATCCCCAGATTCTTGCTCTGAGGGTGGCTCATCCCCAGATTCTTGTTCTGAGGGTAGCTTGCCCCCAGATTCTTGCTCTGAGGGAGCTCACCCCCAGATTCTTGCTCT